GGGTTTCCTGCCTAGGCAGAGGGTTGGACTAGAAGACCTCCAAGGTCCCTTCCAGCTCTGTTATTCTATTTATATACTGTACATTATTTTGCTATGATGGATTTTAATATCAGAATTAAGGGTAATTCTCAATTTACAACTCTTCAGTGAACTGTTCATTGAAAGTTACAGTGGCGTGGAAAAAAGTAACTTATGACCATTTTTCACACTTACAACAGCATCCCCATGATTACATGATCAAAATTCAAATGCTTGGCAACTGACTCATATTTATGACGGTTGGAATGTTCTGGGGGGAGGGGTGTCATGTGATCACCTTTTGCGACTTGTGACAAGCAAAGTCAGTGGGGAAGCCAGATTCCCTTAACAACTGTGCAGATAGCTTAACAATTGCAGTGATTCACTTAACAACTGTGGCAAGAAAGGTTGTAAAGTGGGGCAAAATTCTTAACAACTGTCTTGCTTAGAAACATAAATCTTGGGGTTGTGATCATACATCGAGGACTATCTGTACTATTTTATGAAAATGCTGAGAATTATCCATAAAATTATAAAATTACCACTGCCATTTCTTAAAAAGGAACAATGAGATCTCTTTATGTAACAGCATCCAAGCATTACCCTGATATTTCTTCATGCCTGCAAATGAACTATATATCGCTTCAGCCAGGATATTGGACATCAGCAGAGAACACATTGGATTTACCTCTCTTCCAAGCAATTGAGAAGTTTCTTCATTACTCACATACTCAGGTTGCTACTGGAAATGATCTCTCTTTATCTTCGCTTCCTGGCTTATGAATACGGTATATGTCATCCTCCTCCATGCCAACCTGCCTAGTCATTCTCTTGCTCCCGATGAACTACTCAGCAATGCCTTCTTTTTCCCTGGAGCTATCAGATGCCTAGTGGTAGGACTTATCTTCTTCATCCTTTTCTCATCCAGACTACACTCTGCCAAGCAAATGTGTAAAAACAAAAAATCTCCATCCTTTGATATCCTACTAATTACATTTCCCCGTAGTAACCAATGTCGATGTTAGTAACCAATTTTGTTGTATTTATTTTGTACAATGACAATAAAGGCTGTGTGTGTGTGTGTGTGACTTATTTCATAAAGTCTCCTTCAAGTCTAACTCAACTCATGATGACTTCATGGACAATCAATGTAGCTTTCCTGGCTGTGGTGGGAAAATCTTTCTGCTGATCATGTGCAAAATGTTTTTCAATTTCCAGCTTCACCTATGATCCTAGTATTTCCAGGTGGTCTCCAAATCAAGTACTAATCAAAGCCAAATGTTCAAGATCAGTCATATGGTTGATGCTGGCTTCATGGCATAGATGTATCTTAGATCTTTTTAAAAGATTTGTTTTAAATCCCACTTTTATTATTTTTATAAAGAAGTCGAAAACAGCGAACATGACTAATGGGCCTTATTCCTTCTATTTTCCCTACAACAACCCTGTGGGGTGAATTTCTGTTCCTATCAGCAATAGTCAACTTTCTTCAACAAGTTCACTATCTTCAGTGAGAATTATGAGAGTTGTACTCCATCACATCTGATACGTAGAGACATAAAAGGTAATTTCTTCTAAACTTTAAAGCCAGGACCCAGAGGGTTTGAGGGAACAAGGTCAACTTTTCACTTGAGCCCACATCCCAAAGAATATTGCCAGTTTGGTACAGTGGTGAAAGTGCTGGCCTAGAAACCAGGAGACTGTGAGTTCTAGTCCTGCCATAGCCATGAAGGCAGCTAGGTGACTTTAGGTCAATCACTCTCTTTTAACCCAATCCATCACACAGAGTTGTTCTTGTGGGGAAAACAGAAGGAGAAAGGAGTATTATATATTATATATATTCACTGCCTTGAGTAACATATAAAGTAATAAAGGCAGGATTAAAAGCGTCAATTAAATAAATAAATGTTGATGAAAGAAACCAGCCATTTCAGTCACTACTGATATTTTCTGTGGGCATTTCTGTCAAAATTGTGCACATATATTTGCTAGATTCTTTGTGTTATATTTATTCCCATGCTAATACTTCACCTTTATATTCACCTTTAGGTTTCTACTATTTGTAATATATCATATATGGACACAAATAAATATGAATTTAGAATTCACCATTTGATTACTTCATCATAAATACCTATCAGTGATCTGCATTATGAGATTATAAATCTTTGCTTGTATCTTTTCAATAATATGCAAAAGAAATACAGATTGCTCAGTGACATGCACAGATTACATACATGCTAGATATTTTTATAAGGCAAACTTGATTGACCCAGATCAAATATATCTTTCTAGGTAGAAATGGCTACCTATGGTGGATTCCATTGACAGGTAAAAATTATGAAAGGATGAAAACATACATAATAAAGAATTGTTAGTTTTTAAAAATGTAAAGATGTTCGTGTTTCCTTTTAAATGTTTTTTTTCTGAACATAAACCAAGCTATTCAGTGCAAGATACATGTTTACCCTCAAATATCAAAAAAACAAAAAGTCGAGTCTACACATAGTTAAGCAGTGCATCCATTGCCATATTTTGATCAGTAATACGTTTAAAATATCAGATCCCTAATAACTTTTGAGCATCTTTGTCGACTAGTCCTGGTCTTTGTATCTTGCATGAATCACTGCCATTTCAGTCTTAGCATACATTTACAGATCCAGATTCAGAACTACATTTGGCCTACAATAAGCTTCTTTTCAGACGAAATAGTTCAGAACATATCACAAAGCAAGGAGATCTGAAGGGTATTTTCTTCCCCTTTCTCTTTTTTATGCACACATGAAACGTACCAGGAATCAAGACAGAAAACAAACAAATCCCCCAAAAATATGGTACCATATTGAGGTGGGGAAAATGAAGGATGAATGAGATCAGCCGGGTTTTCCCAAGCCAACTCACCTCTCTCAGCTGCTCCAGCTCCTGTTTGAGGACATCATATTCAGTTTCCAGCTCATCGTACTGCTGTTTAAGGGTCAGCTTCTCTTCCAAGACCACCAGCCCATATTCAGCCGCCTGGATCTTTTCATGGGTGGTCTCAGTCAGTTCTTTGGTCAACCGCTCAATCTCCGATTTATAGTGATCCAGGGTCTCCAAGATCTTTTCTGCAGCCATAGCTTTGGAGGATGGTGATGGCAGCAGGGAGGGGAGGGGGGAGGAGGAGGAGATGTTGGGGGGGGAGGAAAAGGAGAAAGAGATAGAGAATGAGAGAGAAGCAGAATGAAAGAGACAGAGAGAAACAGAGAAAGAGACAGAGAAAGAGAGAAAGAGGGAGAGACAGAGAGAAAGAGATAGAGAATGAGAGAGAAGCAGAATGAAAGAGACAGAGAGAAACAGAGAAAGAGACAGAGAAAGAGAGAAAGAGGGAGAGACAGAGAGAAAGAGATAGAGAATGAGAGGAAGAAAAGAAGGATGGAGACAGATGGGAAGAAGTGGGTGGGAGGGATGAAGGCAGGCACAGGAGGGATGGATGGATGGATAGATGGACAACAGTTCGCCCTGGGGTGTTGTTGGGAAGCGGTCAGCTACCTCAGCTTAAGGCCAAGGGAGAGGATGGGATGCAAGATGAAGAAGAAGGGGTAAGGGGAAGGAGTCCGAGGCCCCCCGAGGCTGCTGCACCATTTGTCCTTCGGCCGCTCCACATAGGGACAGCATAATTGCGCTGTGGAAGGAGGGAAAGGAGGAACCGGGAGGGCGCCTGTTTCCTCGCCCTCCCCCACCCCACCCCCGCGCTCAATTTTTGCTTATTCAGAGGCACCGGTCCGCCATGTCTCCAGGGCAGCTTCACCGCAGTCTCTCTCAACTGTCCACCTGCTCTCTTTCTCTCCCTCCCTCCCTCTCTCTCTCTCTCCCGGCTGCTGCTGCTGCTGCTGCAGCGCCAAAGGGGGCGGGGGAGATGCTGGAAATGCAAGTCAATCAATAAAGCAGCAGCCCTGGCTCTATAGATGGTGCAGCCTCCTGGTCCCCACGAAATCGAGTGGGAAGGGAGGGAGGGAGGGAGGGAGAGAGGGAGGGAGGGGGAAGAGAGGAAAAGAGGAAGGGGAGAAGGAAGGAAAGGGGGAAGAAAGAAGGAAGGAAAAGGGGAAGGGGAGAAGGAAGGAAGGAAGGAAAAGGGAAGGAAAGAAGGAAAGAGGGAAGGGGAGAAGGAAGGAAGGAAAAGGGGAAGGAAAAGGGAAGAAGGAGGGAGGGAAGACAGGAAAAAGGGAGAAGGAAGGAAGGAAAAGGGGAAGGGAAGAAGGAAGGAAAAGGGAAGGGAAGAAGGAAGGGAGGGAAGAGAGAAAAGGGGGAAGGGGAGAAGGAAGGAAGGAAAAGGGAAGAAAGAGGGAGGGAAGAGAGGAAAAGGGGAAGGGGAGAAGGAAGGAAGGAAAAGGGGAAGCAAAAGGAAAGAAGGAGGGAGGGAGGGAAGAGAGAAAAAGGGGAGAAGGAAGGAAGGAGATAACCTATTACCAAACAGAGCTGCACAGGCAGGGAAGCGACCATCCAAAAATGCCTCCGGTTGCCTGGCCGACCTCTTCCTCCTTCTTCTACGCACAGCTGGGCGAAAGGGACAGCGGGAACGATGACGGCGCCACCTTTTCCTCCTCCTCCTCAGGGCATCTTTCTTCCCACACTTGTAATGAAACAAGCAGGCGGAGGAAGGCTGCGCTCCTCTATCTCATTTCCCGGCTTTCTGCCCCCTGGTTTTAGCATCCTGCTCCAAGAAAGAACCAGTGTAGGTGTTCAACCTGTCACTAAGAGGATGGAGAGTATCCAGGAGTTTCCTTACCTGATCACCCCCCTCCCCCCCACACTTCCAGGGAGGGGGATGATAGGTCCTCCTTATTTGAATAAATCGCAGGGTAAAGCAACCCGCCCAGGATGCCAGCTGAGGCATGGACAGGGCCTGCAGTCTGCTGAGACTCTAATATGATCAGTTTGGGCTGGGTGGGTTGTGTGAACTCAGCCATTGGGATTTTTTTTCCGCCACAAACCACAGTTTAACAAACTATATAGTAATGAATGCCAGGAGTGTATCCTGTCCTGGATTACATAAGAAAGAAAGCAAATGGGGGGGGGGAATGAATTCCATGCAGAAAGGGCGTGAAAATTAAAATGCCACCCTTGTAATGCCCTTACAATGGGGGACCATCCACATCTGGAATACTGTGCATAGTTTTGATAGCCACATGTAAAAAAGTGAAGTGAGGGAAGTACAGAAGAGGGCTACTAAAATTATCAACCAGCTTGAATCCTTTCCTTAGGAGAATAGATTAGAATGGCAGGGATTTCCTAGCTTAATAATAAGATAGTTGAAGGGAGACATGATCGAAAACATTAAAAAACCATGCATGGCATAGAGAAAATGGTTGCGAAGTTGTTGTTTTTTCTCTGTCAAAATCTTAAAGCTGTCTGTCTGGGAGAACATTTAAAAGAGACAAAGCATTTCTTTTCCCCACACAGTGCAAAATTAATCTCTGGAATTCATTACCACCAAGGAAGGTTCTGCCCACTAACTTGGATGCTTGTCCAATGCACTTGGATAAACTCTTGAAGAACAATCGAGCGAATCCAGAGGTATTTCACGAGAAGAGTCTTCCACTCCACTGCTCACAATAGAATACCTTTTATCACCAGGCTTGAAATTTTGGCCTTGGACAACCTAGAACTACGCCGACTAAGGTCTGACCTAAGCATAGTACACAAAATTGTCTGCTACAACGTCCTACCTGTCAATGACTACTTCAGCTTCAACCTCAATAATACTCCGGAAAACAATAGATACAAACTCAATTGCAGAAAATATGGCTTCAGCAACAGAGTGGTCAATGCCTGGAATGCACTACCTGACTCTGTTGTTACATCTTAAACTGTCTAGCATGGATCTCACCCCTTGGCTAAGAGATGCGTAAGGGGGTGTGCATAAGCCACCAGCGTGCCTACCATCTGTGTCCTATTGTCCCAGTGATGGGTTTCAATAATTTTTCCAACCTACTCTGTGGGTGTGGCCTCCTTTGTGGGAGTGGCTTGCCGGCCATGTGACCTGGTGGGAGTGGCTTGCCGGCCATGTGTTCTCTCTCTCTCTCTTTCTCTCTATCTCTCCCTTTTGTCTCTCTGTCCCTTTTCCTTTTTTTCTTTCATCTCTCTCTTTTTCTTTCTTTTTTCTTTTTTTATTCCTTTCTTTCTCTTTCTCTCTCTGTATGAGTGTGTGTGTGTGTGTGTGTGTG